CTTTAACTTCTTTCTTTAAAGACTCAAAATTCTTAAAACATAGGTCTTTTATTTTTTGTTTAGCTTTACCCCAAGGTATTTTATGCCTTTGTGGCAATTGTAAAGGGTGATGTTTCTCTGATTTCTTTCTCAGCAATTTATCATCCATATACAGGGCTACTGATTTTTTTGAGTTAATCTTGTATCCTGTCAATTTGCTGAAGGTGTTTATCAGCTGTAAGAGTTCCCTGGTAGAGTTTTTCAGGTCACTAATGTAGACTATCATATCATCTGCAAATAATGAAAGTTTCACTTCTTCCTTTCCAATTTGTATTCCCTTGATCTCCTTTTGTTGTCTTATTGCTCTAGCTAGAACTTCAAGGACAATATTGAAGAGCTATAGAGAGAGTGGACAGCCTTGTCTTGTTCCTGATTTTAGAGGAATAGCTTTGAGTTTCTCCTCATTTAGTTTGATGTTGGCTGTTGGCTTACTGTATATTGTTTTTATTATTTTCAGTTATGTTCCTGTTATTCCTGATCTCTCCAGGACCTTTATCATGAAGCCTTTTGTCAAAGGCTTTTTCAGCATCTAGTGAGATGATCATGTGGTTTTTCTTCTTCAGTTGGTTTATGTGGTGGATTACATTGATAGATTTTTGAATGTTGAACCAACCCTGCATCCCTGGGATGAAGCCTACTTGATCATAGTGGATGGTTTTTCTGGTATGTTCTTGGATTCGGTTTGCCAGTATTTTATTGAGTATTTTTGCATTGATGTTCATGAGAGATATTGGTCTGTAGTGCTCTTACTTAGGTTTCTCTTTGTGTGGCTTAGGTCCTGAGGTAATTGTAGCCTTGCAAAAAGAGTTTGGCAATGACCCTTATTTAAGCTGCTTATCTGATCTTGATTCAGTTTTGGTAAGTGATATCTGTCCAGAAAATTGTCCATTTCCTTTAAATTTTCCAATTTTGTGGAGTACAGGTTTTCAAAGTATGACCTGAAGATTCTCTGGATTTCCTCAGTGTCCATTGTATGTCCCTCTTTTTCTTTCTGATTTTGTTAATTTGCATGTTCTCTTTCTGCCTTTTGGTTAGTTTGGATAAAGGTTTATCTATCTTGTTGATTTTCTCAAAGAACCAACTCTTCGTTAGTTACATTGATTCTTTGAATTTGTTTTCTTTTGTTTAATTGTTTCGACTTTATTGATTTCTGCCCTTAGTTTGATTATTTCCTGGCGTCTACTCCTCCTGGGTGAATTTGCTTCCATTTTTTTCTAGCGCTTTCAGCTATGACATCAACTCTCTGGTGTGACTATTCTCTATTTTCTTCATGTGAGCACTTAGTGCTATGAACTTTCCTCTTAGTACTGCTTTCAAAGTGTCCCATAAGTTTGGGTATGTTGTGTCTTCATTTTCATTGAATTCTAGGAAGTCTTTAATTTCTTTATTTCTTCCTTGACCCAGGAATGGTGCAACTGGGTGTGTTCAATTTCCATGTGTCAGTAGGTTTTCTGCAATTTGTGTTGTTTTTGAATTGTAACTTTAAAGCATGGTGGTCTGATAAGACACAGGGGATTATTCCAATTTTTTTTGTACCTGTTGAGGTTTGCTATGTTGCTGAGTTGTGGTCGATTTTAGAGAAGGTTCCATGTGATGCTGAAAAGATGGTATACTCTTTGTGTTTGGATGGAAAGTTCTATAGATGTCTGTTAATCCCAATTGGGTCATAACTTCTGTTAGTTCCTTTGTCTCTTTGTTAAGTTTCTGTTTGGTGGTCCTGTCCAGTGGTGAGAATGGGATGTTGAAGTTTCCCACAATAACTGTGTGAGGTCTTATTTGTGATTTGAGTTTTAATAATGTTTCTTTTACGAATGTTGGTGCCTTTGTATTCAGGGCATAGATGTTTAGAATTGAGATTTCTTCCTGATGGATTTTTCCTGTGATGAATATGAAATGACCTTCTTCACCGCTTTTGATTGATTTTAGTTTGAAGTCTAATTTGTTAGATACTAGGATAGCTACCCCAGCTCGTTTTCTTGGGTCCATTTGATTGGAATATCTT